ATTTCGATTTAATTCAGGCGGCAGAGAATACATATAAATCCTTTAAAAAATATTATCAACGCTCTTATTTCCCCACCGCACATATGTACATGTGCCCCAAATAGGGAAATGTTATAATGATGAAATAATAAAGCCAGAGGACAGGCAAACAAATCCTCGGGGGAGTTCCTGCCCACCATAACCGTTGATAGTCCTCATAAAAGAAGCCAGAAAAATGCCCAAACTCAGCCTCCAGTCCCTTTTGCACCATCTTAAGAGCATCCACAGGCAAACAAAGGGCGCTGGAACAACAGCTGCTTATCACCACCAAAAAATATATACACATACATAAATATATGTATATAAGAAAGGAAAAGAAAAGATATAACCCCTTGGGGAAGTCCTGGCCAGAAATGCTCCGTTGTTCCGTGTTAAATTGACCGCTCACATGCAACTTGGGGCCATGGAAGACAATAAATATTTATATGTAAATGCCGGCAATATTGTCTCTATTGTGGCACAGGGCACCAAAGGTGGGCATTCTGCTGACCTGAACCCGCAGGGCACAGTTCACACCATGCTAAGTGCACCGGAGGTCGCACTAAAGTAAGCCATTAAGTGTAACAATTGACATAATTGTATCCATTGCGTGTGCTGCGGAAAACTTGTATGGTTTTCCACCTGCATACGAAACAGGCATTTACGCACATATTTCTAATCAGCAGCTACCTTAATATGGCATGAAAGATAATATAATAAAAACACTGAAATGTAACTCTTATTTTTGCCCTTCAAATGTGTGTGCAACCAAAATGCCGCCTAAAAGTATGCAATACAAATGGAGTACAAGCATTTGTCAATGGCTTTTATACGTGCAATATTAATGGAATTAATTAGTTATGATTTCACGTAATTATTACTATTTTTTTATACTTATTACTAATTATTAATTACATAATTGTACCCATTGCGTGTGCCGCACAAAACTTGTATGGTTTTCCACCTGCTGAAAGTAATGCATACGGAACAGGCATTTACGCACATATTTCTAATCAGTAGCTACCTTAATGTGGCAAGAAAGATAATACAATAAAAACTGTGGTAATGTTCATAATCACTGAAATGTAACTTTAATTTTTGTCCATCAAAAGCGTGTGCAACCAAAATGCCGCCTAAAAGTATGCACTACAAATGGAGCACAAGCATTTGTTAGTGGCTTTTATAAGTGCTATATTAATACAATTAATTAGTTATGATTTCACGTAATTATTACTATTTTTGAGTAGTTTTCAAATCTGAGCTTGTTGCTCATTTGTGGTAATTAACCAGCAATTTTTCAGTTACACCTTATGGCACCACATATTTATTTAGTTTCAATTTCTTGCAAAACTGCTCATATTCTGAGCACAAGTGTGTGCGTTTGTGGTGCTGCCCCGGGGCAGAAATAAACCCATTTCAGCTCCAGCCAGTTTTCAGCTCCAAGTGACAGAGTCGAGGCTAAGCGAGCACTTTAAAGTGCCCTGAACTTGATTAATGAATGCCAGCGCTCGAAAGTATGCTACGTCGTGCAGCTAGCACACACACACACACACACACAAGGCAGCCCACATACACACTCAAAGTGTCAACGACACGGGGCAAAAATAAGGGAAAAGGGAACAAAAAGCTTAGAAGGCACGGCAAAAGAAGAGCGCCGAGTGCTGGGATGGCTTAAAATCTGTTTGCCACGCGGAGCACAAATTGAAATTCGCTCCAACTTGGCGGCTAATTTAATATGTTCGCTGAAGAGAGCTGCGCGGTTCTTGGAAAGTGAGTGTAAGCTGCACTTATAATTGTCACAGACACGGACTCACTCGAATATGGGCACAATTTATAATGAATGGATGTGGGAACAATTTGAACAGGGCTCCTTTTTATAGATATGAAGACAAAGCACTGGAAGCCAGTTAATTCCTGCCAACTACAATTCTTCACTGTAATAATGTATAGGGAATTACTGAAAATAGCTCTCGAAAATATTTTACATTCAAATTTACTTTGCATTTTTGATACCTTTAAACAGTTTGCGCTTCAGCCAGCCATAATAAGTATGTACATACTCTTTGCCGTCATTTGGCTTCCTGATAGCAACCTGTTTTAATGCTTCCTGTGCAAGACTTAAATGTGTACAAGTACATATGAGATAACTGATATTCCAGCCGCTCACACACGCTGGCTTTCATATTGGTATTTGCCGCACTTTGTTGGCAATTTAAGTAACGTTTTATGCGAAAGATTCAGCTGGCAATTGCTGTAATTGAATTTGCATAACTTTTCAGCAGGCAAACTTGCTCGCCTTAATTTTTATATATTTTTGTGTCCATACTCACATAAATAATAACAAATATCTACTCACCAAAGCAAACTAGTAAGTAGTTTCCTTCACATTTCCGTCCAGCGAATCCAGCCAAGAATAAATTCATTAAGTAATTCATTCAAATGTCCATTTATGCATTACTGGCCTGCGCATTAGGTATATATTTTACGTGGTTAAGCTTGATTGGCAAAAATAGGGAAAGTATTGGCATTCCAGAATCCAGAGGAACGAAACTCATCAGACACGAACGGACTTCGATTCCGCCCAAGCTTATTTTCGATTTGTGCAACAAATGAAGTGAGAAATTATTTTTATTATTATTTATATTTTTACTACGGATGCTGCGATGCTGCGATGCTGCCCCAACTCTACGTCCACATTCCACATCCGCACCGTGGGCGAATCACGTATTCCGAAAAGCAAACAAACGTTGGAGCCCGCATATATAAACAGGCTGCCAAACGCTTCTCAACGGCGGGTAGTTATGAAAAGTAAGCAAAAGCAAATGCCAGGGAAAAATAATAATACTAGGGGGTGGAAGTGGGGGAGTACCACACCATCTCGAAACATTGAAGCAGCCAAGTAAAGCACATAAATTTTTCGGCGGCCGTCCGTCAGTCACATCATTAAAATCGAGCATGGAGCATGGAGCTCCGCTGGAGCTGCCGCCTAATTCGAGTCCTTGCCGCAAGATGTGCTGAAATGTGCCGCCAGGATGGAGGTGGGAGGTGGGGTCTGGATAGGGACACCCATTCTCTCGAGGCATTCATCAATATGCCAAACATGTTTTGTTATCATCAAATGGAAAATGCTTCATTTTCACGTACGCCAAAACGGAAGACTGTGGCACTGGGAGAAAAGCCACTCGCTTTTTGCTTATCAAAATGATTATTAAATAATACATTTTAGCAGGGATTTATGTGGCCATATATTTACTACATTGAAGTAAACTATATTAGGAATATGTAGAGCAGGAAAGTGTTCTACTCTCGAGATGACATTTACGTAGCAAGAAGCCCAACAATTTGTTCTGTGTGTAGCATATACTAAAAAATCTTTACGTAGACAGTGTTACTAAAATAATTTTGGCATTTATAATGACAAAGAAAGCCTTTCACTTTGCTCGCATCGGAACTTCCGCTTTAATGCCATATCAGCGCATTCGAAGCCATTTCATCCAATTTATTTGGAGTGCAGGACGAGCAACAGGACGCAGGGGAGGACCAACAGCCAACAGGCTACTGGCAGATAGACAGAGGCGCCACCAGCACATCGACAGCGAGACACCAAAGACAGGCCGTCAAAGTTGATGGCCTCCAGGCGGAGATGAGTGGAAGTTATCGTTGTGAATTCCGCAGGTGAATTTCCGAGCTCATGCCCATGCCCATCCCCATGCCCATCTGCATCCACATCCACACTCGCATCCTCATCCCGCATTCAGATGGCAAAAAGTTTGCTGTGGCTTGCGGCAGCTGCCGAATGGCGGTGCTTAAACCACCCAAAAAACTAGCGACGGCGGAGCACATAAATTGATTACCAAGACATTTCACGACAAATTCGGCATATAACAACAATCCGCATGACGGAAACACGGAAACACTGGGGGAATCACCCCGGTTCACCAGCCGACTTTATCGGGTGTGCAAGACAACAGTTTCCGGAAGCAATAGACTCGTTGATGTGGCAATGGCAATGGCGGAAAGTCGTCTGTGGAATTCCGTAATCTACGACAACTCAGTACTCAATACTCAGTACTCAATACCCAATACCCAATACCCAGTTGCCAAATCAATCGCGACAACTGTTGAGCCAGTCAGTCAGTTGGGGATTACAAAGGACACAAAGGACACTAGAAGTACTGCTGGCTCCTTGGAATTTTTGTTGTGATTCTTAAGTGCGGCTCGAGAATTCAATTTTGCCACAAACAGCTTGCACATTAAGTTTTTTAAATATTTGGTATATTTATTAGCACGAATTACCAGTATACAAAGGACACTAGGACAAAGGACAAAGGACACTAGAAGTACTAGAAGTACTGCTGGCTCTCTCGAATTTTTGTTGTGATTCTTAAGTGCGGCTCGAGAATTCAATTTTGCAGCAAACAGGTTGCACATGAAGTTTTTAACTATTTGGTATATTTATTAGCACAAATTTCCAGTATAAAAGTGAAGAAAATAGGTATACTTATGTAAATGACAATTTTCAGTATTTTCAGTATTTGCAACTATTCATTTGTTTGGAATGTTTTTGAAATACTCCAATTTGATATTTTTAAAAACCGCGCAATTTGGGTGCGTAAAATTATTGTTTCTTCTTTTAGTTCCTCTTAAAGCTGATAAATACTCAACGTTTGCTACTATATTTCCAAATTTTAGTAATATATCCGTGTTTAACTAATGTGTTTTAGCTAACGAACATTAAAATAGAATGCCTTGTTCTTGGCGTCACTGATTTTGTTACTCAGTCACTTTGGCAACTCAGTCGCCATCGAATTTTATACCAATTTGAATAGTAGTTGCTATAAGATATTTCAGAAGGATAGTATTGCCGAGAAATCGTTCAAAGATTTTACACAAGAAAAGTATAATTTTTGTTTTTTTTTAAATTTTGCTACGCTTTTTGAAAACCACAAGTAGTTCTCAAGAACAGCTAGAGGATATCAATCATGTCGCATCGCCGTAGTCAAACAGTCTGTCGCTTCCATTTGCTTGGAACATGTCGCTTCGGCAATTTCTGTCGCTTCTCGCATGATGAGACACCAAATTCGTCCACTTCCGGCAATGACAGCACGCAGAGATCGGAGATCGCTGACGATATCGTGGAGGAGGAGCAGGAGCAGGAGCAGGAGCAGGAGCAGGAGCAGGAGCAGGGGCAGGAGCAGGCGCAGGGGCAGGAGCAGGTGGTGGCCAGCACCAGCAGCTACAGTCGGCAACAGATCTGGGCAAGTGCGCCGGTATTCGTGCCCAGGCGCAAGAGTATTCCTGCCGAGACGCCATCAGCGGGAGACCTCCAGGACATCTGTCCATACGGCGGCACCTGTATCTGGGGCAAAAAGTGCTCGTATCCGCTCCACATGGAGATCTGCAAGATGTGCGATCTGTACTGTCTCCACCCGAAGGATCAGAATCAGCGCCGTGAGCACAATCGTGAGTGCCTGGAGCAGCACGAGCAGGCGATGGAGCTATCCTTCGCAATAGCCAGATCCAAGGACAAGACCTGCGGCATTTGCTTCGATATCATCGTGGAGAAGAAGGGGCGTGAACGCCGCTTCGGCATCCTGTCCAAGTGCAAGCACACATTCTGCTTGAACTGCATTCGCACATGGCGGCGCCAGGTCGAGCAATTCGAGCCCACGGTGACGCGAGGTTGCCCCGAATGTCGCGTCTGCTCGGACTTCGTATGCCCCAGTGCCTATTGGGTGGACACCAAGGAGGAGAAGGAGAAGCTGCTCAGCGAGTATCGCACGGCGATGGGCGCCAAGGATTGCAAGTACTTCAGGATGGGCTTGGGCAAGTGTCCGTTTGGCAACAAGTGCTTCTACAAGCACTATCGCCAATATGGGATTAGCCAGACGAAATCGAAAAGCAGCGTATCAGAATAATGCCCATGCAATGCAAATATGATTGATGATGATATGGAATAGCATCCCTGGCGTGTGACCGATCCACTGGATTTCCATTGGAGCGATTTCCGGGTGACTCAAGCGATACACTCATTTCAAGGGAAACAGATGAGGATTAGGCAGCTTCTTTAGACGGCAGAGGGACAACGCTTCGTAAACTTGGTCGTGTCTTTGTCAGAGACAAATATGTATAACACTGAGCACAATATAGCTCCATGCATCCCCATTGAGACCAATATAGCACATTATATCCCAGTATGGCCGAATATTTAGATATACATAGATAGCAATATAGCCCATACAAAATTAAACCAAACCAGTAGTCGAGCACCAAATTTTGGTTTACATGGCTTTTCACTGGATGTTTCAAAAATTCTCCGTGCTTGCATACACCCAGCTACATTTAATACCAAAGGAAGATAATAAATCATCAGTTTAAAAAGGATTCTTGGCTTGCCCATTTGGTTTGCGTAAAACATGATGCATTTACAAAAAAATCGAGCTAAAAACATACTCTCAATATAATCTTTCGAAATAGCTTTAAATAGTTTTGAGCTCGCCAGATTTACCAGCTGTTGACATCGTACCACTCGGAGGGCGAGCAGAGGTTACCAAACTCGCCATTGGTGCCCGATCCGCATCCCTGCGCTCCCCAGTCGCAGCTGGAGTAGATCTGGCGGCCGATCATGTTGGTGGTGGCATAGTTGCATGCCACCAGCACCTGGTTCCATCCATCGCGATTGTACCGGGCAGCCGCGCAGCCCACGCGGGTGTTCCTCTCCGACATCATCACGGTGAAGTGGCCAATGGCACTGGGAGACAGGAGGAAGTTTCCATTATAAAGTATCAATTTGAAATTTAAAATGCTTGCAGTTGCATAGATGCATATCCATAACTATGTATATCACTCAAAACTAGTGAACCTAATGTAGAATACTGAAGAACTCTTGTTTTATGTGGATTCTAGTTCCTCATTGATATCTAGTTCCATCTCAACTCTTTTACAGCACAGAGAAAAAAAGGAAAAACAACGCGAACTTACGGTCCGTTGTATCCGGATGGGTAGCCGCCGGAAATGATGCCGGAGTTGGAGTTGTGCACCTCGTCGAACCACATCTGCACGCTGTTGTCCAGGATGTAGCCCATGTCGGGCAGGTCGCCGGAGTAGGCCTGCCAGGCGAGGTTCTGGCCGGAGTACTTGAAGGCGTCGGTGTTGTGGCAGCTATCGTGCACCATGTTGCACTGGCGGACATTCAGGGAGGCCAGGTAGGCGAGCTCATCATCCCATTCCATGGTGGCCATGCGGCAGGCGGCATTGTGATTGGGATCGTAGCCACCGGCAATGTAGTTCCTCTTGTCGTTGTGCGAGTGGACAAACACCCACTTGTAGTCATCGTTGATGTCGATCAGCTGGGCATCGCCGGGACAGCTGCTGTCCCACCAGTTGTTGTGCCCGCAGGCGATGTGGGAGCCACCATTGCAGATGTCCCACGAACAGTAGTCGGTGGCGTGGGCCAGGCCCAAGGCCACTACCAGGATGGCGAGCAGAGCGAGCTTCATGTTGCCTTCGTTGCGTCTAACACCCAATGGCGATCTATAGGTTGGATCGTTCGGCTGTGTGCTTATAAGGGGCAGATTGGAGCATTGCGGATCGGTAGACATGAATGGAGTGCAACTATAAATCACTCCATGCTCTTTCAGCCATTTTCCATTCAATCTAATCGCCAGTCTTTTATTTACGACAGACTGATTTAGTTCTGCCAAGTTCTGGCCAGTTCTCTTAACTCTAAAGTAATCAAATCAAATGTGAAAATATTCAAATATCCATTCGGTGTTTCAAACAAGCTATATATAGTTAGATCTAAAAATTTGGGACAAAAACTACGCTCAGCTATAAATTTCGACGTATACTTCAATAGAACTTTAGAAGTAACGGGTATCCGATAGTCGCGGCACTCCAGCGTTCTTACTTGCTGTGATTTTGATGCGGTGATTCCCTTTTGGGATAGGTCGCTTTCTCGTGCAGACTTCTTGACTGGTAAAATGATTGTTATCAAAACTCACTGAGTATCAATTTATTAGGCACTTCCTTAGTTGCATGTGCTCGTGCATAAGTTAACTATCAGGTTCAAAGCCTAGTGATAAGCTTAATTAGTGCTAAAAATATGGCACCATGTAAATAAATCCAACTGATTTATTAGCTCCATTAGTGTGTTTTCATTCTTTATCAAACTCATATAAACAGCCCTATCAGGAGTTAAAAACAAAGAAGCGAATATAATAAAGTATAAGCTCTCAAAACAAATAAATGAATAAAGACGAGAAAATACCGCGAACTGGAGTTTTTTTTATTAAAATATGCTTTCCAAGACTTCAGGTATTGTTTTTATCTTATCACATCATATACTACATTTCCCAGAAGAAGACCAAGACGAGCCTTCATCTGAAATCGAGTATCTTATCTTCCAAGAGACAAGAGATAAGCCCGTAGTATCTGAGCAGTTCCGCTGAAGTCCGCATCCAACTCATTAATAGGTACTCATATAATAGGTATTAATACACATGGACAAAATGTGCAATTAAAATTCTTGCAATTCATTTGCATTTGTATTGGTAACTCAAAAAGTGTACAATTAATCTATAACTGATTCGGATTAAATTATATCATGCCATTAACTTGGAGTTATAAGGACTGTGATAATGATGTCTTTGATTAGAGTATACTTTTGTTTAGCTTCTATTTATTGGATCAGTAGGACAGATTGTTTACGTTGTACTTCTCGTTGGCGCTGCACAGGTACTTGTACCTGGGATTGGTACCGGTGGTACATTTGCTGGCCGCCTTCGGGCACGAGCTGTACATCTTGATGCCCAGGACATTGGTGGCCGCATAGTTGCAGGCCAGCAGGAAGGCCTTGTAGGATTGTCCGGGCACCGAGTAGGTGGCCGCGGCACAACCCACTTCCGTATTCCGATCGGCCACGAGCACCGTGAAGTGACCAATGGCCGGGCCATTGTAGTTGGACGGATAGGCGTCGATGTAGGCCTGTTTGGTGTACACCGCCTCATCATACCACATGTCGACGCCCCACTCCAGATAGTGGGTCACATTCAGCGGATTGTAGTAGCCCATCCAGGCCAGATTCTGGCCAGACCAGTCGAAGGCATCCGTGTTGTGGCATCCGTCGTGTTTCATCTGGCAACTCTTCACGTTCAAACTGGCCAAGTAGGCCAGTTCATCGTTCCACTTGATCGTGGCCATCCGGCAGGCGGCACTCAGATTGGCATTCAGTCCTCCGGCGATGTGGTTGCGATACTCGTTCGTCCTGGCCACCAGTGCATTCTTCTCAGCGCTGGTCAGGGTCAACAGGGTGGCGTCACTGGGACAGCTAGAGGACCAGGCCTACGGATGAAAAGTGAAGAAATATATTCCCACGTATGTGTACATATTTAAATAACATTTTAGATATCACATTTATGTAAGGGAGCGTATAGTTCCAAGCCCGGCTTGAAAGTCACGTTAAGGATTATAGCCATGGTTAATCACCCCATTATTGCCGCATCCCAGATTCTTGGTGTTGCCGCAGCTCTTTTTGCAGTAGTCGGTGGCGGAGGCGATGCCGAGTGCCAGAGATAGGCTAAATATGATCGCGAAGTGGCGCATTTCTATTTCCCGGCCTGATTGCTAGCGATTCCCACAGCGCAACGGGCTTTTATGGTAATCGGTGTAGAGCAGTTTTTGCTTCTCTTTTTTATCACCATTTGATTAAATATTTACCGCCAGAGTGTCTCATTTGTGCCAGCCGAGTCTGCCGCCCCTCGTTGCTTGTTTTTCTTTTTGTAAGATAAAGTTGCTCCGATGTGTAATGATACCACCCACTCATTGCACCCGCAAAAGACGTCATGCGATCGGTGTGATGAAAACATGTTGCGGGAATCACCTGAATGTTCCTCTCCATGAGCTGAGTATCACTGATTGTTTGCAGAAGAGCACACGCAAAACAAAAACAGACGCTTCTTTGTGTTTTATCTGAATGATTACTTCAAAACAACTCGAAAAAATTAATTGGCTTTCATTGGGTTGTGGAAAATCCCATCTACTTAATGGTTGCAAAAGTATGTAGGAAATATAAAGCAAAGATTTCCTGACCTCAGTTAATAACATCTTAAATTTCTACCTTTTCCATATATTCCCACTTGCTTACTCTAATTTCTTTAACCTCAGTGTATCCCTAGTTCTCGACGTTTATACGGACATCCCAACGGACAGACGGACGAACGGACAGAAGCAACGGACAAGAAGAACGGACAGAAGCAGCTAAAGAAGAATATATATACTCTGTATGGTTGGTTCCCTCCTTCCACCTATTACATATGTTACATATGTATACGCTTTTACTGAGAGGAGTATAACAAAGTGCTTTGCAAATTGGCTCAAATGCAAATGTAGGAAATATGAAGTCAAGATTTCCTTACCTCAATTAATAAAATCTAATGTTGTTATGGAAATTGTTATGTGGAAAAAGTATATATTCCCATATAAGCTTGCTTAATCTAATTTCTTCAACTTCATTATATCCCCAGATCTCGACGTTCATACGGACATCCAAACGGACAGACGGACAGAAGCAACGATACAGTTAGAATATATATACTCTGTATGGTTGGTTCCCTCCCTCCACCTATTACATATATTCCCATATAAGCTTGCTTAATCTAATTTCTTCAACTTCAGTATATTCCTAGATCTCGAATTTCATACGGACAGACGGACGAACGGACAGAAGCAACGATACAGTTAGAATATATTTGTATACTCTGTATGGTTGGTTCCCTCCCTCCACCTATTACATATGTTCCATATGTATACGCTTTTACTGACACGGGTATAACAAAGTGCTTTGCAAATTGGCTCAAATGCAAATAAAGTTCTGTGCAGTAGGACATTTTCCACCACCATGCATTTGTTCTACCACTGCTTGGCTGTAAATATAAATACGGTACAGTGAATACACAAACAAAGAGTACGGCACGTGTCACGATGACCCTCCTCGCCAGATAAATGTTAGCCCAACTGCAGCTCAGGCAAAAGGCAGTAGATCAAGTGCGAAAGCCACTAGCCAAGACGGAAGTTGTTTACCCAGCTGCCCGGAACACTTAAGATGGCAAAACCAACGATTTTCCAATTTAGCCAGCAAAATATTGGCCTGAACTATTGGACCTTCGATTCAACCAGTTAACAATGAAATGTAATTTGGCAAATTGAAATGAAAATCTAATATTGGGTTAGACCTTTTCACTTTAGCTTCAAAATCTCCATAATTAGATGAAACAACTGCAGCAACATGTTCTTAACTCAAATATAAATATATCTTACCAGCAAACCCGTCAAATAATACACCAGTTTATATTTTTGTATATATATATATATATATATATATATATAATTTTTGACATATTTGATATGCTGACATTTTATGTATTTCTAGTAGGGTTTTCTCTTATTCAAACAGGCCTGTTCCGTTTCCCCAAATAAATTAAAAAAAAAAAGTCCTTTTGACCGCTTACAATTTTCACTTTTGAAATAATATCCATACACAAATAAATCAAAAAAAAAGATACGAATTGCAATGTATATCAGACCATTAAAAGCACATTTGTTTCAAATATTTGACAAGCAGATTTTTGACATTACAGGTGTCCGTTTAATGTTAACAATAATACAGTGCCTGTGTTATTAGCCAAGTCTTTGCAAAATGGTTAAGTGGATCAAGACTTCGATTTACTTGCGCACGGAATCGGGAACAGTCCTGCGCTGATACAATTTTTGCCAAATTGATAATTGCATTTATGAATCAAAATGAGTCGACAATTGGCCTTTGGATTAAGAATTCATTCCCGCTTTTAAGGCATTGTTAGCCACCATTATTTCGTGTAGATATAGACAGATGTCTGCCGTTGCATATATATAATATTCAATTCTTTACCATTTACTTTCTCTTAGTACAGAAAAATAAATATATACTTGCACGAGTCCAGCTTCCTGTCTCTGCCTCAGTGTACAATTTTACGAATGTGTGTATATATAGATATATTTATTCCAGCTGGTTCTCAGTTTCATTTATATGTACATATGCATTGTATGTATACTGATCTGCGCTATTGGTGTTTATATATTTGCATAAGAAGTTGATCTGTGGGCTGTTTGCAGTTCTTGCAGTAGCTGTGGTTGTTGCTTTCATTATATATTCGTGTAGTTTTGTTAATAATATATGGCGCTCCTAGGGCGACCTAATAAATTGCACACACAAAATATGGATTTGTTTGTTTACATCGATCATTTATCTTAGTTATCATTTGCACAGTTGTACGAGATTTTATTTCAGTTTCTTCATTTGCTTAGCGTTGGTTGTTTGTTTGTTTGTTTTTGGTTTTTGGTTTCGGTTATGGGGGTCGGGGCAACAATATCAAGAATATTTCCTTTGTCTCTGCATCTTAAATGTCTAGTAATTGTAAATCCTCTTCTATCATGTTCGAATATTCTATGTACAGATCTTACAAACGAATACACTGAAGTGTAGCATAGCAAATGAAATTTGACAATTGTGCAGCAGGCAACATGGTGGAGTCCACTTTAAGTGACTCCATCGAGCACTCGGGAACTTAAACTAAAAATTCGCAACATCATATATTTGGAATACAAAAGCTAAGTTTAAGCCAGTTTCTGTATTCTGTATTGTGTGGTTGAGCCCAAGAGTAGGCCACAAACATGTACATTTAGACGCTACAAAGACGCTTGGCGTGGCAACGGGCGCATTGGAGCTCGGAAAATGGAACCGGAAGGGAAAACAGGGATTTACGTATCTTCCACCAGGGTATTTTAATATGTATATACGAATTGGTGGATCTCAAGTGGTTTGGATTTCGATTTCAATTTGGAGTAGCAGTCTATGGGCAATGTTAGCCTTACAGTAATATCGAAAACATATTTATAACACTTTGTTTTATTTACAACATGTCATGCGTTGGTTGTGGCTTCGTATAATGGCCAAATCTTTGCTTATTCGATTAAAATATTACATAAACATATATTCATACACTAATAACATATGGGAGTGGTCAGGAGTCGCCTAACTGCGATCCCCCGCTAAGTCCTTAGGAGGACTACGCGCACGAAACGATGGATTCGTGGATTAGCATTGGATATCTCAAGTTGCGGCTAAATATCAAGTTCATTTTGCTTTTCGCGCGGCATAGTAACTGGAACGCTTAACTGGGCCAATTGGCGACGGGCTAACCAATGACTACGTGCTTACTTTCAATACATATAGATCTTCTTGCACATGCTGTATATATACCATATATATATGAGTTAATACCTGCTAGGCGTGATCTAGCCACAGTAAAGTAAACGGGCTTACATCTAGGGGTGCCTTCGAGCAGCATTAAGTGCCTCTGCTTCTATACATACATAAATATATATTTCGACATATGCATATCTGTCACCTATTCTAGATATAGTTTACTTTAGTTTAGGTATTGTAAATTATTAGACACCATTTGCGTATAGCAATAACAACGTTTGAGTGTTTAACGCTCCACCTGCTTCACACGAACTTTCAATCTTTACTCTCTCAACTCCTCGGCGGACTGAAACTGAACCGGAGCCAAATGCGATTGGGCTTGAGTCTGCTGCGGGTGCTGCTGCTGCTGCTGCTGCTGCTGTTGCTGCTGCTGCTGCTGCTGCTGTGCCGGCGATGAAGGCTGCCCGAATTTACTGGAGATCTTGTGCGAGGCATTGACAATGGCCAGCTCATGCTTGGAGTCCAGATCGCAGTCGTAGAGGCCGCTCAGCGAGTCCAGGCTGAGCAGGCGGGAGCTGGCCCGGCTGGACACCGAAGTGTCGTCCACGTCCGGCGCGTTATACAGCGAGTTAACGTCCGAGAGAGCGCCCTCGGCATCGGTGAGACCAGCTTCGTTCAGCAACGAGATGTTCTCCAGCCCGGGCTCATCCGTGATGTAGCCCGTGGACTCGGCTCCCCCTAGAAAGCAGAACATTAGTTATGCTTGGAGAAAATCGTAAGCAGCTTTGCTCTCACCTGTGGCTTCCTCACGGCAATCGTCATCCGACCACTCCGATTGGCTCTCCAACGGATTGGAGTCCATGGACTGGTGATTGAGATGGGTCGCTCCGTACTTTAGCTCGTCGTTTATCACATTGGCCTCCAGGCCGCGCATGCTGCCGTTGGTCAGCGGTGCCGCCTCCCGCCCGCCATTCCGGTGGTCCTCCTCTTCGTCGTCATCGTCGTCCTCCTCCTCCGGCTCGTTGTTGTGGTGATCACCAGCCTCTGTTGCAACCTCCGATCGCTTGTGATTGAGCTCGGACTTTTGTAGGCGCTTCTGTCGCACATCGCGGCCCACTTCGTCGTCCTCAAACTCCTCATCGGCCAGGTTGTCCTCGGTGTCGTCACGCTCCTCCTGCTCCTGCACATGGTTGTAGCGCTGCTGTTGCTGCTGCCTCTGTTGGTGGTGATGGTGGTGGTGATAGCGCTGGTGTCGCTGCTGCGACTGTGACTGCACCGCTCCATCCAGTCCGTCCAGACTCTCGTGGCTGTACTGCAGCTCCTTGGAGCGCGGTCGCTGGCGATGCGTCCTCTGTGGCTGCTGGTGATGCTGCCCGTGATGCGCATGGCTGCCATTGAGCTCCTTGGCCGTGTGCATCTCCAGCATGGCCAGCACATGCATCTGGTTGCGGTTCTCGTGCAGAATCTCGCAGGACTCCGTGTCCGAGGTTTGCCTGCAAGAGTCACATCGCTCGATTTGATAAGGTTTTCGAATATGCATAGTAGTATATCATTAGAGGGATCTAAGATTAAAAGTAACACTGGGCCACCCCCATACCGGTTATGAAAGCGGCGAACCTGCACCACATGACATGGAATGGAAGCTGTCGTCATGGT